ACACTATAACAAATGAGTTGGGCTGCGTCCGAGTGGCTTTCACGTAGGTGTGGTCGGAGGAGGGGCGGGGCGAGCGGGGGAAACGCCCAAAACAAAATGGCAGTCTCTTGCGCGCCAATTTTTGAATTTGAATTAGGGATAGATTCTATATTCAGTTGAGAAAATTGGGTGGACAATGTTGCAAAGAGATTTTCCCCTTGCCTTTGTTGTACATGTTTGGAAAGATAGTAACTGATCGAAAGGATGCATTTGGATTTTGAATGTGAGAGAAAATTTTTGCAATCTATCTAGGTACTTTTAGAAATACATATTTTTATTTTATTCTAAACAATGCGGTAAATCGACTTGCTATAAACGATATTCGCAGATACTACGGATTACTTACAAAATGGTCGTAAAGTAATAGGTTACAAATCTGAAGAACCTAACAAAGTAACCTACACGAGTAGGAAACAAAAACGAGACAAAATATATTTCATCAATCGATCATATTTTGTTGTAACAATTTGAACATACCCAAACAAAATCCAAATTGACAAAAGAGAACAGCCTCAAACGAAGACCTTATTGCCAATAACATAATAAAATCGATTGCAAAATGATAAAGTACCATCAAACTATCATAAATTAAGAGTATACAAAGGCTACCTCCACACGAGAATCTATAAACAAATTGTTATTGCGATTTAAGGATCCGTTTAAAAGCTATAAAATTTCACAACACAACGAAAAACAGCCTCAACAACCTATAACATAGAGATGAAGTTACATTTTTGAGCGTCCATGCCTTAGAGCTCATAAACTATTTTCAGTAACGGCGAAATGAAGAGACAGGCCACCTGTCCTTTACTAACCTACAGCAACATGAATAAGTGTGAGAAGGACATGGGATATTTACGAGGTGTTTATCGATACAGCGGCGTTGATTTAACCATTGCTTTGGTATATTGCAGTCAATAAAATTAAACGTTATGAGGCAAGGTCGTACGTGAAAAATTACAAGTGATTTATGTCTTCATCTTGGGACAGTAGACTTTTGTTTACTTATTTACTTTTTTTGTGAATCTAATATTGTTAATGCAATCATTAACAATTAGATTACTTTTAAATTAACTCTGTACCAGTAATATAGATTAGGTATACATTAGAGTATTTAATTGAATAATAAGACAAATGATATTGTGCCCATGGCCATAATAAAGCAATATGTGACCAATGATCACATATAAAAAAATGCATTATCACATGAAAGTCTCTTCACAAAAGTTGTAATTTTGTAGTTGTAGCTTTATTACATCAATGGTGTGACATACCTTACACAAATTTGACGACAATCAAATAACGAACAAGTCTGGTGGTAAGTGACACGCCTGTCCAAAACATTTGTTTGAAATCACTAAGATCTGAGGGGCACTGCCACTGCGCGCGTCACTTGAGACATAAGTTGACAAGTCTTATGTCCCTGTAATTTCACCAGCACCCGTACATTTCATAATCGGAACGCAGTAATGCTCATGTTACTGCTTGGCGGCAGAAATAGGTAAAGTGGCAGTATTTCCCTGGATGAACTCTTTCACAGGGGCTCTATACTGCTACTAAAATAATGTTAGATTTCTAGCGTTGATGCCTCGTAAAGAGGCGACACACGTGTCGGGTATATTTTTAGGGGTGGTGTTTGTGATTGCAGTTGCGTTTCTGTTTACATTTTAGTAATTTTATGTGGAAACAGCTTGGTAAAATTAACAACTGCATGAAAAAACCTTCAACACAAGCATAGCTCCTTTGGACTACTTAACACGAACTGAGTACTCCACCGGGTTAGTGGCAAAATAATTTACTTCCATTTTTATTAATGTCAGATGCCCATCAGATGTCACAGGGATGTTATTTACTATGAGCCTCATAAAAAAGCTCAAAGTCACTCAACGAGCTATGGAGCGAGCACTACTGCTCGGCGTTTCTCAACGTGAGCGAATCAGAAATGAGGAGATCCGTAGAAGAACGAAAGTCATCGACATAGCTGGTGATTAGCAAGTTGAAATGGCAGTGGGTAGGGCACATAGCTCGAAGAACTGATGCCCGTTGGGGCAGAAAGGTTCTCGAATAGAAACCACGAACCTGAAGGCTTTCAGTGAGACGGCCCCCTACTAGATGGACGGACGACCTGGTAAACGCCGCAGGTAATCAATGCAAGGCAAATCTGACAGTCTTTGGGGGAGGCCAATGTTCAGCAGTGGACGACTTTCGGCTGATATGACGATGAGATGCCTATCGCGTTTCAACTTTGGTTAAAATAACTTAAAAAATTGTACCAATTGTTCATGCGACGAGATGACTTTATCTGTGGGCCGTGAACTCAATCTGGAGCAAGTGCAATGTCATACTGTAGTGTACATCATAAATAACACTTATCAGGATTGCTTGACCACTTTAGACTGACCTCTAGGATTCGTGAACAATTCGCATTGGAATGCAAGTGGACATGGAGAAATTCATCACTACAAGTGATGAAATAGAGAAGGTTTTTCAATACATTTAACCTTGATATTTCCTATAAAACCAAAAATTAGATCAACCATCCGAAAATTAACAAATTACTTCCGGAACGTTCATTACGACTAAAACATCCGACAGATAAATACAGGGCCATTTAAAACTCTGCAAAACCATAATTGCCTCAATTTCAAACTTGTCAAAATCGCATTAGTTCACCTTACGGTGGAGAATAATGATACGCCTACAGCGCTCATTGGATGCGAGGATTATTAAAAATACATTAGAGGCGGCCACACCTAGCCTTATAAATAACTCAGTTCGTGTTGAAACAGAAAAAAAGTAATTTTGAGATTTGTTACCGGGAGGGGGAAGGGGCCAATCACCCGTGACTGACACGGAAGGAACCGAGCCTCTATCACGCGAAATCATTATTTTGTCGTTAGGGAAACGTATTATAATGATGGTATCTTGAATCGCGGTCTGCGTGTATAGAAAATCCTGTGTATTTTACACTACATAGCCATGCATACAATCGGTATGTAAAGCACCAAACGGAGCAATATATTGAAAAATCAAGACATCTGTACAATATTCGAACAATAGCACACCTAATAAGTACATTGCGTATTAAGGACGGTAAATAAGCAACTACCAACGAAGGTCTATTAGAAGCCCGAAGCGAAAGGCTGAGTGTGGCTTTAATAACTTGAGCTTTGTATTTTTTTTTTACCGTCCTTGATACATACAATGTTTTTCATTACATTAGCGAGGAAAAGAATACAATACAAATATGGTTCACAACACGACAATTATAGATTTGGCAAATGGCGCTTTTTGTTTTTTTTTTAAAATTCTTGCATAGATAATACAACTTGAACTAAAATGTATAAAATGATGGACTGTAAAAAAATTTTTGCTAAATTTGTATACAGATAATCTCAGTACAGAGCTCCTACTAAAAAAAACGACCTCAAAAGTACGTGAAATTACGACTATTTGCCAAGTTTTATTGAAATATCCCCTAGTTCGCAATTTATTTGCAATAAAATTTCTGTTTAGATAACATTTTAAGCGATAATGTTTTAATTTTGAACTAAGTAATATCCTTGCTTGAACTTGAACCTGGCCTATTTAAGGAAGTATTTCGTGCTACTAATTAAAAAAAATTCCTTACCGACCATGACTGTAATGGAAACAAAAATGGCCCGCGGTTTTATTTGAGGCATTATTGTCAAGTTGGCTATCTCACAATCATACCATTTACGAGCAAGTGTGATGAAAATATAATTACAAGGGTTTACTTACTTCAGCACTAAAAAAAGTTATAAAACCTCAGACACCTGTACAATGAGTAGGCAAGTAACTTAATTCCTATTCTATTTTTAACTCCTATCAACTTTGACTTAATAAAGGTATTTAGTACAAACGACCACGCCACGAGCTATATACTACCAGTACATTTTGACTCAGTGTTACTGCACATTTTGACTATAGCCACTAATGGCATCTGGATGTCAGCTTACAATGGAAATGTATAACCAACGCTGTGGTCGTGCGCGCGCATCTTAACTTAGGTTATATTAAAAGGCAAACAACAATGAAAATCTCTAAATACAATCATTATGCTTTATTAATTTCATGTATTTATATATTTATGACAATATCGTCTCGCCTAACCTTATTAAGTTACTAATTATAATTATATTTCATAAATTTTGAATCGATAGGACATAATGGTAAATAAAATCGTTCAAATTAGGTTCCCATTAGTTTTCTACAGACCTAATTTTCGAAGAATTTCAAGGACAGTTCTCAGTAGACCTAACAATCAAAACTTAATTTAGCTTTACGTAAACCTAATTTTTACTCAAATTTTACAAATCGAATTCCGAGGTTCTATCTGGCAAGGGACTAATTAGAATTTCGTCTTGTCTGAAATTGCACTGGGGTCATTATAGAGTTACAAAATTATACCTACTACGAGATAAAGAGAGGGTTATTCATCAAAAGTATACAATCGCTTTAAAAGGTTCACAAAACAAAAGATTGCTTATGCTAAAAGTAAATTTACAACATAAACATGAGATACTTGAGCAAACTTTAAATAATAACAACAAATGCATCCCAGCCAGACAGCTTTTAAATAATTAATACTTTACCCAATTCAATAAAAAAGAATAAAGTGATAGCGAACCTATTTAAGCGAATCAATAAATAAATATTGAATAATAATATCGTCAATTTACAATTATTACACTTTACATTTTACTTAACGAACACAGCACAAAATAAAAAAATATATGTATAAAATGAAACCGGCTCACTGATTTCTTAAAAACATTCACTAGTTACAATCTACGTGAAAAATTAATTTATACAAGTAGTTTACATTATTACGAAAACGTATAACTTGGATCCTGACGTTTATCAACATATCAAATTTCACTCCAATTTTAACATTATTCGTAAAACTAATGAATGCGTTACGAGTAAATATATTACATTCGATATTTTTTTACGTATATTGGTTTTCATAGGCAATGATTTTATAAAAATACCTTTTCATAAAATGTCTCGTAGAGACTTGTATAAGAAACACCGAATGATGACATGATTTTTGAACGTCTAGTAAGAAGCTTCCTTACAAACATTGAACAACCAGTAGTATATCTCCTAACTTTGGTATACTGTGTACACGTAACCTTGTATCTCTACAAACATTCCTTAGAAGATTCAAATAAGACAGATAAATAAGTTCCTCTGCCTTATACAAAACTGAAGGTAACTTTATTCCATTCATTAAATTAGCAATCCACATGCATCAAATCCGAGATGTCTTTAGATTTCTCTCCATCGAATGGCACAACATCAATTTGTCCATGAAATAGAAATTTCATCAAAGAATATTTATGTTTACATTAAATGTCTTCGTCTAAATTATAAGCTTTACTTTCGTAACATTTTACAATAATAATAGATTTCCTATGACGTTTAATATCAGTAATAATTACGTATATGAGTCATCGAAAAATCGTATACATTGCACTTGTATTAACTGGCCTTCCCAAAATTACGAAATCAGAGTAAAGTTGAAACCAGAGAAGATTCAAACTAAAACACACAGCGATGCATGAACTCAAGTAGCGAAATGATCGTTGTTTCAAAATTAATCTCATTAATATTATTCACACTAAAACAATTGTACATAATAAATTCTAAAAATTATCTTGCATGTATGTATTTACAGAATAGCGTTTTGATAGCTTACAAGAAATAAAACATCAAATATATTAAATAATAACAATATCGATATTAATTGCCTTCTTATCAATGGTTAAATATAAGAGGTCCTTATGGTTTTGTGATACAAAATTATTGAAAAACTTTTTGAAATTTTTCACCAAGTGTTTTTCAGCAATAGTTTGACCGATTTACATGTATTTAAAAAAGTGAAAACAAACATTTAGAAGCAGACAAGATTTTTTGAAATTTGGGTAGTATTATGAAAAAAAAAAATAGTACGCGAGGCTTTTGTAGCACTTTGTGAAAAATTTATAAGTACAACCAATATTCCAAATGAATGAATAAATTTCAAACCAAAATGAAAATTATCCAACTATAATCACGTCATCTCAATGACGATGCAGTTTACTACCATATATACACTGCGTTTTTGGTAATTATTGGTATTGAGATTGTTCTATAAATTAATTTATACTTAACAACTGTAAAAATCTCTTCATCACACTCTCATTACTCTTTATGCGAAATCACTAAGTTACGTATTAGTTATAATGTAATATTATCATGAAAAGTCCAACATACAATTTATACAAATTAAACTGTTCTAGTAACTTCGGCCTCAAGATTGGTCGTTTCAGATTTACCATTTCATGAAGCGATTGAACGGAAAATTCAACATTAGAAACCTAATGGACCTAAACCTCTTTTGGAATGGATGGTTGAAATCTGAAAACGATCGATCCATCACCTGGACCGCATGAACTAAGCTAAAGGAGGCCTTTATTGTGGCGAGGTGGGCGGACTCATGTTGTCCGGCTCGTCGCCGGACCCAGGCTCGCCTTTGGTCTTGTTCTCCTTCTTCCACTTCATGCGCCGGTTTTGGAACCAGATCTTTATCTGTCTCTCCGTCAGGCAGAGCGCGTGTGCGATCTCAATCCGTCTCCTCCGCGTCAGGTACCGGTTGAAGTGGAACTCCTTCTCTAGCTCGAGCGTCTGGTACCGGGTGTAGGTTTGCCGACCTCGCTTCCTCTCTGAAATGAAACAACGGCACATGTTAATTCTAAATGAAAATTAAAAACGAAAAACACTAGTTTTAATTTAGTGGACCCGAGGCAGCCCTGGTCGGTGTCAGACGTTAAAAACTGCATAGGCATTTCTGATAAATGGTGGTTATTTGTAAACGGCGAACACTCCCGGCGGAGTTAATTGAAAATTGTTTTGAGCTTATCAATTTGTTAATTGTTTTTGCTTGTTGGATATTTCTCTTGCCTGTCGAGGAGTTAACTAAGTTTTATGGAATACATAGTGCTTGAAGACGTGGCAACAATAACTTAAAGAACGGTAATTGGAACTGATTATGAGCGCTTGTAATATAAGATAGGTTCAAAATCTTGAACATAGTTTGACATATAGTGAGGTTGTAAACTAGCTGAGGTATTTGACCTCATTACAACGTCGTACCCATTTGCTGTAATCAGTCAACATCAAGAAAGTCGCTCAACTCACGCCTCCGCTTTGAGCATACTAGAGTACCTACAGTGTAAACATGTACGCATTTACTATGTTTTAGTACTGAGCACGTTTTTAGAATAATTATTTGTTAATCCTGAACTTTAAAACCAACTACGCTTGTGTGCAATATTATACGAGTATGTCATAAAATGGGATCGTGCATGTGTTTGTCAGTGAAGCGGTCCAAACCGCTACCGAAGCCAATTAAAATAATTTAAGACGCCGTGAGGCTTTTTCATTTTGTAATCATTATTCTTCGAGGAAGATGCGAAGCCTATTATACACGGTTTAGAAGGTGCCCTGATCTGTAATTTGTTTGAATTAAAAAAAAAGACAATCTTGAAGCGAACTGCACGTCTCTTATTACTTGATTTAAAGGGACCAGTAGATCATATCGCGACACATGAGACGATTAGAATGATGAGAGTCGGTTGTAGGGTGGCTTCAATTTAACAGGTCGAATCCTTCTGATTAGCTTTGATATATGAAGTCTAGACTAGTGAATTGTCTTTTATACGAATTTGACAATAAATTATCATTTCAAAAGCAATCAAAATCAGGTATACCTACAGAATTGATAATAGATAATTAGGACTATTGCAATGGCCAATGAATATATTGAAAGTAAAATATATATAGGTATATTTGAAATATAATTACAAATTACATTTCATTTATTACAAATAAAAAACATACAAAACATATTTTAGGCAATGCAATGTATGTATCATAAACTATATCGTTTTCTCGTACATTGCCAATTACGCGATATGAAAGTAGATGACATTTCTGGCATAACTAAAAAAAACCTGCTTCGGGACTTGAATAAAAACAAACTTGGTTCATTATTTTCGTTTCAACTTAAACACGCAAAACGACTTGCAACAAGACAAACACGCGAAGTTCGTAGAAATTCTCATATGAAACCTGGGGATTAGGTACTTTGCGAATGACAACACCCTACACTGCTTCCCAGAAATGCTGGTTTGGAACAAAAACAAGTGCTAGATGATAGGTTAGTCACATCGTGCTTTGACTTGAGTAATTAGTTGTTGAGTAAATCATTCTCGTGGATTTATCCCTTGGTTAATTCGGACAAGATAACGTAAAATAAAGTGCACACATGTAATAAACATACTTTACATATAACAGCTAAACAATCTTCTTTTTAGAGCTCTACTAGCTCCATTTTTTTATTATTATTTTATTAGTTCGTCTAAGGAAGTACTGCCACCCTTACCTATTTCTTCCGCCAAGCAGTAACGTGAGCATTACTGCGTACCGGGTTTGAAGGGCACCTAAAGAATGGTGGTGAAATTACAGGCACATGCATTTTTACACACATTCATAGCCCAGCATTAGGGGGTAAAACCTGTGTCGCGGGTGCCATGGACAACCACAAATTACACCCAATCTCACAAAAGAAATAAATATAGGCCGTACAAATATTTCCCCTGGTCGGGGAATCGAACCCGGGACCTCTGCGTGGCAGACCAATATGGTAACCATTTGGCCACGGAGGCAGTTGAGTTTATTTAACAACTTATGTCTTTTCAGATCTTTGCGATTTAAAGCTCTGAGTGGCACTACAACTGTCATGGTAGGCGTGCCGTTTAGCTTGAATTTGCCGTTTAGCTCAAATTATATAAAAAAATGCCTATACATCTTGATTTATCTGCTAGATCATTATATTTATTCTAACTAAAAAAAAAATGGGTAAATACAAAGTTGTAAATCTAGCAAAACAATAAAACATTCTCAACATGAGCAATAGTTTGCGAGTAAACGAAACAAAAATGTGAAGGCTTGCAATGCTTAGTGCCTACAAACGGGTCTATGCAGCAACGGATTCAAAATTATCGCCCACTTGTTGCTCGGGAAATTGATAACAGCCTCATCGTGGCCCGCAGCGGGTTTTGGGTCGCATTCAAGAATGCAGATGTTATTGTTCGATGGACTTTTGCTGAATGAATCCAACCAAAAGAGTACAACTTTTTTAAAGTCCATTTTACTCAATTCAGTTGTTCTTTAAAATATTTTTTTATACTATCAAGTGACGGGACGAACAAGTCGTGCGTCTGGTGTTAAGTGACATGCCTGTCACTAACAGTTGCAGTGTAACTCAGAGCTTAAAAATCGTAAAGATCTCTATACCCATGTGCCTCTCATTTCACAAGTACCCTTACCCTTCAGAACCGGAACGCAGTAGTACTCACATTACTACTTGGCGGCCGAAATAGGTAAGATGGCAGTACTTCACTGGACGAACTCTTTCATACGAATCTCCACTGCTACTTGAAGATTTAAGAAAACGTTTATCTTTCTATCTGATAATAGTTTATTTATGAAATGTTAACCGATAGGTTGAGTAGATTATTACACTGTATTTCAATAAAGCACAATCCTGTAAAAGCTAAGATCTCCACATTTTCTTCTAACTCAGCCTGTCTCAGTTATACACGATACTAAGTACATTCTTCAACAGCCAAAAATGTTCCGAAACAAGTCGTATAGCTCATAAAATCCCCTTCCCAGAGGGCTTTATATATTACACTAGCGGTTTCATCGCGCACTCAGATGCATAAAACATGATCCCGACGTCAGATTTAAACCGTACGTAATAAGCATTAAGCGTGCAAGTCTGGGAGACGGGTAGATGTCCCCAGCCGACCGTGAAGTGACACTTCTTAGTTTAGTTGTGTTGCTATTACAGCAGTAATATCAAACGCTATTTGTGTTTGAATTGCGCATCTTGTTTATTAAGACATTTATGTTGAGCGCGTCAACTTGAATCAACAATGAGCGCGTATACTACAAGATAGCACAGAAGAAATTATCAAGCTAATCAGTCCGAAGTTGTGATACCATTTTCAAGTACTTATGTACTTATTTCATTATGTACAAACTACCGTTGCAGCGTGGAAACCGCTTGTGTGCTAAACGAAATCGCAGCTTTAGAAGCGCAGCGCTGCATGTGTCGTCGGGCAATCATAAATCATCGTCGGTCGGGGAGCTCAAAATCGGGGCCCGGCTTACTTTCACGACGACGGTCAGAACGTGGACATGCGTGAAAACTAACTTTTGTGGAATTCAACACTCGACCCTGAGGGCAGTTCTGTTCATTCACAATCAAAAGCCTTTCAAAGAGTTGAGCAGATCGTAAGTTCGAATAGTGATGATCTATCTAGGGACTTCACAAGACTATCAAGAAAATGAGTGTATTCTTGGTAATGGTCTTTTAATAATTAACAATAACCGATCTTGAACAGAAAGTATCGATCGATAATCATTTTCAACTATTCCCTATCGATACAGAAATCGCCAAGGTATTGCAATTGTAGTACACACAAGAATTGCTTTCAAACTAATCTTCCCAAGACCTTTAGGTCGGGTTACATTTATCTGGATAGAGTGCGTGCTAAAATATTGACCAGGTGCGGTGTTACTATCTCGGATCGCATTTGTACTGATTACCTACACGATAGTGGCCCCTATGGAACACGAAAGGTAAAGGGGTCGAAAAAAGTTGCGATAATCTGTAATCGGTCAGCTTTGACGTTCATGAATTTTCTTTAGAATTTCACTTCATGATAAAGTTCTCAAGAACGGAAAAGCATCAAGCACGAAACATAAACTCCAATAAATTTAAGCAACCAAAACAAATGAAATGTTATGCGTACATTATTCTTGCGCATATACCACACCGCAGAAGCAGGAGCATAAAAATAATAACACGTACCGGAGCGGAAACCTAAATACCAAATTCATCAAGGGATGACAAGTGAAAAGAGCTTTTAATTTAATTCGTTGCGGTATTGCGCCGGAGAAATACGAAAAAAATACAGCAACAGCTTGAAGCGATATCGACAATCCATAATTCATGTCCTACAATTTCATACGCTTTATCGTGGACCGATCGTCATATATTTTAGGATAAACAATGTGCGAATCGTGCCTTTATACAGCGGGATTGAGTTCAAAACACTTTGCCTCTTTTATTGTGTTGAGATGTTATACCTCGAAGAGACCACTCAGTGTATTGCAACATCGTACATGATATCAAACGGGTATTCAGATTAATGCAATTTCTCTTAAACGCTTACACGTCGTAAATAAAATTGCTAGTTGCCGACGATGGGTCGGCATTGAAGATCACTACTTAATAAGTTTAATTGATATTGCAATTACACAAAAATAAACTACAGGACTTGATTGCTTACATTGAGAAGATGATACAGATAGGCTCTGTATCATCTTTATGTAATAAATTAATATTACATAAAATTCTTTATGTAATAATATTGATGTAACGATGAAAACAGTAATTCATCAAATTTTGATGGACACTATGCTCATCAATTTATCAATTTTTACTCCTTACACACTTTTCGAGCCTTCCTAACACAAAATGAAATTGAAAAATCTTCGAAAATATCGAATCTTATTTATTGTTCTATCAAAATGGATATACCGCCGAAACGAAACGAAAAGCAGGTAATCGATTAGCCGATATCATATT